AGTCGCTCTGGTATTTTTTTATCGCAGACTACGCCGGTCATCGAGCGCCACTCGGACCAAGCTGCACTCACCCGCGAGTTACCTCAGAGATCAGGCTGCCGTCGGACGCGATTGCCGACCCAAGATACTTGAACGATGTTGTACGTGTGAGCTCAGTGCTGAGGTCCGTTAATAGCTCGCGAATTGTGTGATTTGGAGATTAGGTACGCTCAAAGGACAGCATACCTAACGGCCTTAAAATTCTGCGATTGTGTGTTTAAGCGATTGGGCTCGAAGGAAGCTCGAAGCGATTGATCACCAGATGCTCATCGACTGATTTGACTCCGCTTAACAAGTTGACGACATCGCGCGTTTTGACTTTTTTGGCCGCATTGGACGAGAGCGATTCTGCAAGCGCCGCCGCATCACATCAGCGCCGAATCCGTGGACTTTTAGCTGCAAGTACGCAATACCTGGATGCGACAAAGTGTTTTCAATAATGTTAGATGTGTCTAATTTGTCGATAACAGTAACTGAAGATATCTATAACTTGGTGAAAATGTAGTTCGGGGGGGGGGGGACGACACTATCTAATCGAGGTGGAGTTGCGGAAAGACACACATATCTAATCAAAATAGAGCTGCGGGAGAGCACTTATATCTTTCACTATGACCGTGGCCTACCACTAGAACGCTTACCCTTTTCATACTATTCTATGGCTAAAATGGCTGCTACCTTGCTGGCTCTTCACTTCTTGCGACAGCCATGCGAGCCCTCGAAGAGAGGACCTTTCAGGTATTCAATTTTGTATGGAAGGGTTGGTATCCCTATCTAATCGTACATTCAGAGACTGTGTCTGGATGGTGATCAGATATAATCGCCTTTCCGCATCTCCACTTCGATTAGATATTGTCAGGTCGATTAGGCCATGAGTGGCCCCCTCAAACTACATTTTCACCCTATAAATTATCTATAACAGTAGCGGAAGATCGACAAAAATGGCGTGTTATGACCATGAAAGGGCAAACTTTACTCACTTTCGCTTTATTGGTTTTAGAACCACTTTAGACGTGATTGAACCAGTAAAACATATATCTTGCGATTAGGTTTGCTTTCACTTCCATTACCCCTTTTTTCAAAATCTGAGTTCCACGTTAATGAACAAAAACGAGGAATGAACTGAACAGACACGTTTGTAAGGTCTGAAAAAACCTAATCTGCTTAACTAACGAATATTTGGCCATTTTGCAAGCTACGTGATTCTTGGTTGTGATGATGTATGGCTTATAAAATGAACACAAAAAACGGCTTTCCCATGATGGATGAATCATCTTTTGCTACATCCTACTCCTGTAGATACCCATTCAGGGTGCACACTTGTAGCCGTTTCACGCACGTGGCAAAATGGCTTATTCAAAACCGGACTCTAATTCCACGTACCAGTGATCGAACAGCTTCTAATAGTGTACCTGGACAGGCGCTAATGGTTCGCAACATCCGTGTAACTCATGCAAATGGGATTGAAAAGACTGCGATGCACGAGTCGTTGCGTTGAGTGACATCACACTATGACTCGGCACAAGCTCACCACCATGAGCGATCAATACAGACCTTTTGTGATAGCGACTAAAACATAAATTTGCATTTCTTGTCCACTACCATATTTAAAAAGCATATAAATACTAGAGAAAGAGTTCACGAAACGAAACATCACGAGCAGATATGGCGCCTCAAGGACAAAACTGCGCCGCGACCGCAGCTCGCGAATGAAACTTTCTCCCATGCGCCAGTGGACGGCATGCCGGCACTTTTCTCTTCACCTAAGTGCGTTTTACGAGTTTACTAAAGGACTTCTAGCAGTCGTTTGCTATTTTATTTTCTTCAGTCAATGATGCGATAGCGATTGTTATTCGTTCTATTTCCCCTTGATTAATGCTGAGTTAACGGAATCATTTTAAGTAAACTTTATAGCTTTTGCAGGTCAAAAATGACGCCACTTCTGGTTTCGTGGGGGCATAATGGGCGCGAGAATTTTATCGTATGTGGATGGCGGATGCAAGCATTTCATGAAATTCCGGGCAATCATGGCGCGTGCGCACGAAACCCTTCAAGTCATACAATCAACGCATTATACGACTATTTCAGGCAACGTTTCGTGGAAAAGCCATTATGAAATCCATGTGTTAGGAACGCCATTGTCCCTATCTGGTCGTGATATTGCTCGCAAAATTCTTCTCTTATTAAAACGATCATTCCTATTCTTTTCAGAAATTTACTATTTTTCAAAGCAATCGGGAAGGGTCATTCATTTTTATGCTCGTGTGTCGCTGGACAACATCCATGACTACTGGTGTACGTACAATTCGAACCACGGTAAAGGGCTACTCTGCAAAAGACTCAGGGTCGTGCACAATTTCTCTCCTAGACGTAGTTTTCGCACGGTGACCCTTCGGTCAGTTACCTTGCAGTGATCTTTCCTTCTTGCCCATACCTACTCCTCTGTATGTACCCTCACCTTCAAATGACCAGAAATTGTGCAATTGCAACAATTAACGTGGTATTAACGTGGCACCGATTCAAGAACATCTTTGAGCACACGTGACGTCACCTTTTCATCTGAATTTAGCCACGTGTGCCAATGCCACGTCAATTTCTGCAATTGCACAATTTCTGGTCATTTGAAGGCGAGGGTAAAAAGTCTGTGGATTAGGGGCGGGGAAACGGAAAAAATGATACTTTTCCACTTCCCAAAATTCGTTTTATTCGCCGGTCTTCTAGAAATACTTTTCACATGTTACCGAATATGAACACTCCCCTTTCAAAAATCACACCAACGAACGCTTGGCATTGATTGGAACTCATGAATACAATGACCTTGCGTAATCCAAAATTTTGCGACAGTCTTTCACCCACCCCAGAGTCACAGGTTCAAACCCTCGTACCAGCGCAATGCGCGAAATCGCGGATTACTGTGGCCTAAACGCGAAATGGCGGTCCAGCCCTTTTCGAGGCAGTTGCTTCTTTTTTCACCGGCCTTACTACGCTGGGTAGTGTTCAACTCTTAGCGAACTTCTTTATGAAATGCTTAATGATCAGTACCTTTTGTCCGTTGAAATACGCCATTGAACTCTCATCTACCTATGCTGAGGACGGAAGGGTTGTGATAACGCTTTGGTAGATATTCAAATTACCCTTGGGTCACGCTGCGCGTGCCGTGACAGAACGCGATTATAACAGCTGGACATTTATGTTGTCAAACATATCGCTGTTCGATATTTGCGTCAAAATTTGCGTTATATTAGTGAATTTGTTTTTGAATTGCATTGATGTCATGCCCTGTGACGATTGAGATTAAGGCAAGCGAATTCCGCGTGTTGGTGCCTCTTCCCGCCCTGATTAATTATTTACACCCTGAAATTAAAAAAAAAACTTGCTGCCACTTGTGTTTACAGGGAATTCGAGTGCCTCGTGTCATTTTTTGGCCGACCGTCATCTGACCGCAATGTGGCGTTGGCCTGTGTTCGAATTCGACTGTAAACTTGCCTATAGAGGTTATTGAGCCCTCTTAGCGGAAGTAATACTCGATTTTCAATCTCTTGCATTGTCTTAGGTTTTTTTGCCAAGTTCCGTAAGTTCTTAAGTAGTAAAGGTTGTTCAGAACTTGATAACGATGCTAAGTCACTATCTCTTATGCCGGACAAGGTTTGTTGGAAAAAAAATGGGGTCTCATCCAGTAAGGGGGGGCATCAAGGGCTGCCCTCACCCCACCACCCTAGACTGCCTACATCCCCTGGCGCACAGGTTTCTTGAAGTACGAGGACCGTAAGCCAGGGGAGTGAGCCGAGCTTCAGGGGAGGTGGGGCGGTGAGGGAGCTTTAGACGTCTGCATCACAATGCCCCCCCTTACTGGATGAGAACCCAACAAATTGCCTGGGTCATAATTATGGCAATGAGTTACTCTTTTGAAAAAAGTTTTGGGTCTAATCCAGTAATGGGGCATGTGGATGTGACAGTTTATATTAGCATGAAGTTAATCACTTTTTTAGGGGAGGAAGCCTTCGCGGTGCGGGTTGTAAAGTTTGAGCGAAATGGTTCACGGAACGACGCCGGATTCCCTCTCTTGCAAACTGCAATTTCTGTAGCCCGGCAAGAAATGTTACTCCGAGGTCTCGGACATCTGTCTAACCGTTGAGGTAAGGCAAATCAAGCTTTTTGTTTTGGCTATTGGGAGCTCTTCACACAAGCGCACTATTACATAATCCCTGCTTTTTGTCTCCATATAAGGCTTAAGTCCACTACACAAAGGATGTCTGCTTTCCCTTCTACACTCTCACTGGTTGACAGAAGCCTTGTAACCGGTCGCACACATGCCCCCGTTACTGGATGGACCCAAAGTTTTTTTGACGAATTCATATAAAAAGGAATATAGCACCAAATCGCATTAAAAATGAATGCTATATTACTGTCAGGGTTCATGTTGACCTGTAGACGAAGGTCCAACCAATTGCCGTTGACATTCTTTCGTTGTAAGAGAGCGTCTAGGCATAGGTCGTCATATAGCGATTTTGTCATGGTGACGAGAGCCGGCGCTAAGAAGCATTTGAGCGGCTATTTTCTCTTCGTCTCAAAACGATGGCCCTCCGCAATTGCTGTTCCGTCCCGTTCTCTTGTAACTCGGCTTTTTTTACTTGGGCATTAAAACATTGCCGTCTTCCCCGCTCAGTGTTTACCTCATTACATTTGTGCACTCTGCCCTGAAATCGATTTTCAAGACACATGACTGAAGAGACTCCCAGTTTTAATTTACTGTTTTTTTAGGTAGTTATCTTCGTAGTTTCTCGATACACATTTCATACTCTTTTTTTTTCGTTGTGCGCGTCGAGCGTTGTCAACATGATGGCCTCTGATTCTGCCTCTTTTTCGGAAAATTACAATTATTTTCACTTTGTCGTATTTCGTCAGTTCAGTTTATAGTTCATCATATTATACATAGCACAATTCTGTTGAATTTTAGGGTGCCTATGGTAATGGTGCGTAAGGCAATACGTTCACCATTAGTGTGCGGACGGCGGTGCAGACACCGTCATGCCGTGTCAGAAGTTTTTGAATGGCGACGAAGGACGTCTCCATCTGGTTTACAGAATGCTGGTTTTCAGCAATACGCTGGACTTGTTTGGCTGTTCAGCATAAGGTAGTCCATATTTGTATTTCGATTTCCCTTTTGTTATGTAATTGGTCATCTTAACTTACCGCTATTTAACGAGTTGTGTTGACAATAGCGAAAGTAACAATTTCATTGGAAACAACAATTTATATGTAGTAGCTGAAGCACTTCGCGATCAAGATTTATTTGTGTTTATCCTAGAGATGGTCTCAAGTCTTTTGAAACGAATTGCTTCAGATTACGGTGCTACTCTGCTTATGCTATCCGAACTCGATCTTACGGGATCCTCCGTTGCAAATCAAGTGTTTAGGCGATATAAAAGCTTGGTCGAGCATATACGACTGAGAAATGTAAGACATGACGCCATTTTGGAATGGGGGATATGGGACATTTTCGGTGGTTCGCTAGGATGGAAAGCGACTGTTTAAGCGTCTCTTTGCGCCGAAATATTTATTCGGCTGCGTTGAAACTCGGGGTCCACTCGTGGGCAATTCTGACGAGGTTCGTGCGAAAAAATGTTTTTCGCTGGATAAACGGCAGAAAAATTCGATTCTTGTACTTTATGAACCAAAATACTTTTTTTCGGGCGCAGTTGCTCGGGAGGTGGGGGGGGGGGCGTCGCCGCGCGGCTTCGTGCGGCACAGGAATGTCGTGAGCAGGGGGGAGTGTAGCAATCGGGGGGTTGGGGGTGTAGGGACGTTCAATGACATGAGTGAGAAGACTGGAATGTTCGAATTTCCTGTTTGCCGACAAGCGCGCGCGCTGATGCCCCCCCCCACGAGGCACATGCGCCCTTTTTTTCGACAGAGGTAACCGTGCTGCAATTGAAGATTAAACAAGCTTTGATCTTATTAGACATAGAAGAATGTAATTCTTAACTTGAAGTGGCGAGGCAGCGCTCTGTTTTTGTTGCGCTTTCTGGAAAGAGAGCATTCACCAATTGGCTTGAAAGAAGTGGGTAGCGGATAACGTACACTTCGATTGCTTTTCTATTCTAACTTCGCACTCTGCTTGAGAATTGTTTTTAGCTCAGTTTTTGAGACCAATACTGGAGTAGGAGAGCAATTCGGAGGCAAGTAACACGTGGCATTTCTTTCTTGCTCTTCCCTCATTTTTGTTCGGTTCTCCCCTTTCAGAATACTCTAGGGACCGTGTACTCAATGTTAAGGCTGGTGTAAGAGTCCGCGATTTTTTGCGGATTTTTCGCGATTTGCGCGATTTTCGCCGATTGCGTGTGGCGCGCGATTTTCGCGATTTGCGCGATTTTTGCATATTTTTCGCGTATGCGCGACGGTCCGGAATTTCAATGCTCATTCAATACTGCAAGGTGTTATACTGAAGGTGTCCCATTCCATTGCTTTATTCAGTGTTTCAACTGTATTCAATGCGGGCCACTTGGCAATTTGTGATACGCGGCGATCTCATGGTCATCCTCATGGTCAGTCAGAATAGATGCAGTTCCGTCTATGAACGATATGAGCATTTCAATATGAATAATAGGAGCATAAATCTAATACGACTAGAATCGGGCCAGGTCTTCCTTCATTTCCAATTAGACAGGACCTCACAGTATTCAGGTGGGGCATTCTTCATCTTCCTGTGCCATCGCAGGTTTTCGCAAAAATCGCGAGTTCGCAAAAATCGGCGCACGCAAAAATCGCACGCAATACGCGGAATCGCCTCAAATCGATCGCAGGACTTGACACCAAGCCTATCCAAATTTGAGCGCTATCGCTGTTTACTGGGATTTTGTCTAAACTTTTGTTATTTTGCTCGAATTGTAGATACTTATTATTATTTAAACCTGTTTGGATAGCGTGAAAACGCTGGAACGTGTGTATTCGGAGCCGATTTCAGACTTCGGGTTACACGGATCAAATTGAGGTGATCACTGCCGCGACGCGACCGCAGACGCTAGCGAATAGCGCAGATTCGGAAGTCTGACACCGGTCTTTCTAAGGCAATTGACCGCGGGTTTCATTCCTCGCATTCCTCCATTTTTTCCTCTGATTTTGAAACATCTCATCCTTCTGAGCGCTATCGCAATGGGGGCATCTCTAGGACCAAGTCCAGGAGTGGGCTGGAACATCCGGGTTAAGGAACTTGCTCTTGCAATATGGATCCTATTCTTGGCCACCTGAGGCTTAGCCCCTATTCTGACAGATATTTCACACGTCTTTAAATGCATTGCCACCACAATGCCTCGTATCTTGCGAAAGCGCCGCAGAATAATCTCTGTTTTCTTCTCTTAGTTGAGGGTTTGGTCTTAGTATTAGGAGAAAGCATGTGCTCTTATCTAGCAAACCACTAATTGACACGTTTAAACGTGTACACGTTTTGACACGTTAACGAAACGTGGACAATTGTTTACGAAGTGCCCGTGTGTTGCGATAGCGCCAATATTGTTCTTTCGCACAATCAGCGCGAAAGCCACGACAGACTTATCATCTACTAGTAAAACCCTAGGGTCGTGTCTTACTGTGCAGTTCAACTTTGGAATAGGCACGGATCGATCATGCGATCGCACGTTCACAGCTCCGCACGATCGATACGCATCTATTTCCACTCGAACTGAAAGTATAAACGGATCCGTGCAGTGCAACATTGGTCTAGAAAGCATGGCTACAACAGACAACAAAAATCTCGCTGAATGGAACTGCCTGCAGTTTGTTATTTTAAAGTTTAAAAACAGTAGAATATTTCTAAACCTGAGCTAAAGCACTTCGTTTGACCTTTCCGTTAAAATGCTCCTCTCGCCGATTGGGCGCAGACGAACAGAACAACGCACTGAAAGCCAAAGTTTTCGTTTCGAGATGAAGATTACTTGTCTGAACGGTCGCAGCAAAATGAAATGCTTGTTCCATTTCATCTGCCCTGTTTCTCATGACCCATCTCCTAAAGATATGAGTCTCAAACTAAGTTATTGCTCCACACATTTTTTAAAGATGTCTTCTACATTTAATTTTTAGTCGCATATTAATTCAAGTCAACCATCGCCCCGGATCTCCGAGTCTGCTTCACAACATGACGATGTCTTATTATGTGTAGAATATGACCAGCGTAGGAAAATGTCAATATCGGGCGAAGATGTTTTTGTTAGGACGAAACAGAGTGCAATTATGTGAGCTATGTTTTCGAGCCTTTTGTTTACATAGTATTGCTAACAAGACGCCATTCCGTGAAGTGTTCTGCTGTCTCAAAGCACGTAACTTTTTCTCTTCGAGATTATATTTCCTGTCATAAGGGTATCTCCTTTTTATCCATGTACTTGGGGAATGCCTCATCAACCGCTCAGAGGGAGAAGTTGGCAACAATGCTGCTTGTAGGGTTTAGCTCGCAGGAAAGAAAGCGAGTTCTTCGCGTTTTGCAGCACGGAACGCTTTTTGCTGCGGGAAGCTCAGGTCCACCACTGATGATGATCGGGCCTGATGTTCCGGCAGCGTAAATGTTTCCCATTGCGAAACACGAAAACAGGGCGCTCATCCGGTAGGGGGGCATTGTAATGCAGTGTCAAGTGGTTGCCCTCACTCCCACCCCCTAGACTGCCTTCACTCCCCCTGGCTCAGGGGTTCCGTACTTCGAGAAACCTGTGCGCCAGGGGGGTGTAGGCAGTCTAGGGGGTGGGGGGTGAGGGCAGCCACTTGATGCCCCCCCCCCTTACGGGATGAGCGCCGTAATCAGCGCTTGCTATCCTAGTGGCACGCCCGTACCGTTTTCCTTACGCCGTAGTCGGAATTCAAAATTGCGACATATGTCGTGGTAACTGGCTTAAGAACGATTTCTTGATTGTGATTTCTTGTTAACAAGTTAATTCATTTGATATATCGAGCTGGCAGGAATGGAATAATCTGAAAGATTGTAGAATTTGAATTTTTCGAAGAATGTAATCTTACTGTGAAGAATGTTGTTCTTCCTATTTATTTTGTATCACATTCGTAGGACTGAACTTATACTTATCTCTATCCAGCAATCCTTTTGCAGTGAAGACCCTCTCGTTGACTCCATATCAGATGGTGGTGAAATCCGCTCTGTGCGGTTGATATCAAGGGATGAGGTACGCATTTCTTTCTTCTCAGACTCCTTCTATTTTGTTCTCTGCATAGCCCTACTAACTTTTACTCGATCACTCGATAATCTCCAGTTTTTCGATTAGGTTTTTTTTCAAATAGAATACTTTAACACCGGATTCTTAAAAAAAACGAAATAGAACAATGCAGGATTTTTCATTCTCTTAAAGCAGTTGCTTTCAGCTAATCCGAACTGTTGAAAGTCCGGACACGAAATCGAAAAGTCTTGCCAAGTTGCTCATAGCTTTTTTCTATTGCTTATCCTCATTACTGATTACAGCCTTTGTAATGGTTCTAGTGCATGACCGTGTACCAGGTATGATACACTCTAAAAAGTTTGTTTTCTGTTGTGAAAATGCCTTTGTTTTGTCTTGCTGTACTTTCTGTTGATGATTTTTTGCTCAATTTTTATGTTTTACTGATGAATACAATTTTTCTCCTGCTAGGGCAACGTTACCGAGCAATATTTCATTAATTTTACGCAAATTTATGCCGTGAATTTGGAGCTATTTTCTTTTCTCAAAGATTATATCAAGTGTCAGGTTTCTGACAGTGTCAGGTTTTTCGGTAATTCAACTGAATTATTTTGATTGTTATAATCAAGAAAAGGGTATGCTTTTGTGAGAAATGGTACGATACACTCTAATGGTGAATAGTTTTTCGTGTCATTTGATTAGGTCACACTGTAAATTACTTCATCTTCAGCAGTGCGTTATAGATATGAAAATGTATCCGCCTCTACCAGATATAGTGCTCGACAACTTGCCATTAATTCCATGGGCATTTGAAGTTTGTGAACTAATAGGAGTAGCGCTATGTTCCATCTGGTTCACTATACTTACTTTTCACAAACATAGGTGAGTATTTATGCTTTCGTGCAGTTTTTTTTTAATCAGAAAATCGTAAGCTGTCCATTTTCACAGCGCAAACTTACTCGGGAAATATTCATAGCAATTGTGGAGGAGTACAACGTGTCTCGTTTTGAAACAGTCAGAAGGTGTGAAACATATAATTGTAATGGGCTTTCAGGGTAGTTATCATGCGGAGAATGTTTTCTTTAGTTGGAACCGTATTTTTGCTTCGCTGTATAACAATGCTGATCACATCACTATCCGTACCGGGAGTACATCTCGAGTGTCGCGCGAAGGTCAGTGGATATGAATTTACTGTTTGATTTCTTTCTTTGTTTGTTTAGCCGGTCGTTTTCCTTGTACTTAAAAGATGCTCAGCTTTCTTTCACCTTCAAAGTAGTTCGAAGTTTTAGTGAAGTCGTCGAATTATTTCCAACATCCTTAAAAAAGATCTTATTTTATAAATTCAGTCATGGGGATTACAGAGTTCAATTCATATTGGATTTCTTACAAAACCGCCAACATCAGATTTCATTTCATCCCGTTCGAATGTTTCTTAGTGAAATGTGAACGAAACTTAGCCTAAAAAATCTGTCAACAGTAACACGAACTGCTGAATTGGAAATGGTCGTGTTAAGTTTGCTATAGCTTTTTACATGCAGTGCAGTTGTCTCTAGAAGATAATAGGTGCACAATGTGTTGCGTCATGTCACCATTCTTGTGAATGTGGAGGATCCAATGAAGGGTGACAAGTTTCGGTTCCAATCAACTATTACAACCCCAAAATCAAAAAATATTATTTGTGTCGAATCATGGCCCATCGGGGTAATTCGATTAACAGTAGTTCACCATATTCTTTTTTGGCGCCAGCGCCGCTTTGTCACGAGAGCTGTTATCACAAACTTCTGTGAAGGACTTATTTAGTGTTCTGGTCATTAATATGACTTTCGTTTCTGGGAGTATTGCTTTATTTTTATATTTTCATATTTTTCGTTCTCCTGGGTTCCCCGAATAGTGCTTGGAGGAATCGTCTATGGAACTTGCCTCTCTCCTTACCAGAAAGATGATACCATTCTCTTTGCTCCGAATGGTAACAGAAGACGAAAAATAAGCAGCTTGTTTCAATAGATTGCAAATGATCGCGGACAGCGCTGACAATGTGAATTTCCGCCGTAAATTCATATGTTAGCGTTGAAGAGCCAACCTAAAGTGTTGAGAAAGAAAACATGACAGAATTTCATTTTTTGCGGACGCTTGACTTACAATGGATCCTTACAACTGCCATGCAACTTCTTCACAAAAAGTTCGGTTCCTCGCCAGGAGTTGCAGTTATTGAGAAGGAATTTTTCCGGACGATGCAGTTAGGGCTACGTTATTGAAAGAGGATCTCGAGTGTTTAAACACGTGAGCAAAAATTGATTGTGTGAGTACAGAAGTGAGTGATACTAAGCTGAGGAGAGTTCACTGAAGTTTTAATCCTGACTGCGACTATAGTTAGTGAGGTGGTGCAGATCGAAGAGGAATAGTTATCCAATTGCACGGGCGCCGGAAGAAAAAAGGTATGTTGTCACCAGGACCGAATAGCCTGTTGACGAAGTTTGACAGAGCAAATTGAGCTTCAAATTGCGTCAAAGAATATCATATCGTGGGTTCGACAAAATAATTTTGAGATTTTGGATTGTTAAGTTGAAAATACATAATTTCTTTTCACTTTGGTCCTCGATTTTTACGGCCTCTTTTTATGACACAGACGGTTGTAGTCGCATATAATTCGAAATTCATGTGTATGGAAAATCTGTGTAGCGCAATTAAGATGTTGATGATAGTTGTAAACGATAGTGAGCACATGAGGACTCCTGAGTCAGTGTAACTTCATCAGAGACCGAATCATGAGTGCCTTTCCTTGATAGGGCGATCTCAGGCAGGTGTTTGGAAGAGATGGTGTCGACTTTGAATATTGGGGCAGAGCTATCTAAATCTTTTAGAGCATCTCTTTTCTTATTTTTATGAACGAACTGAATTCAAAATGAAATCGCATAATTTATGATATAAACTAAATCGGAACGTTCATTAAAATGCATCATGATTATCTCTTATGTGTTTTGCGGCGCTTTAGTAACCGCGCCTTCATGAGTTTTTCCATTATGGAGACGGGACATGCTTTGCATTCCATTTATTATATTTGCAGTTTACTTGGCTACACAAGATTTTAGAAGTATGCAGATGATAATGGAGAAATTGCTGCAGATTACTTATGTTCTCGACCCTAGGAATGTCGATACAGGTAATATTATGCTGTATTGGGCAGGGTTGAATTCATAGGGAAGCTTTACGTGACAATTTGTTCGCTTCCAACAACATTATTTTCGTAATGCACACGTAATTGTTCTCGTATGAACTCGATTCTGGGGAATTCATTCTTACGCCGTGAATTATTCTGCTGTTTAGCGATCGATGCCATAGCAATAGTATTGCATAAGGACCTAAGACAGCTTCTTTTTTCTGATGAGTTTGTGGACAGATTCAGTTTTAGTTTTTGTTTTCGAAAAGAGTTTGTTGTGGCCTTTTCCCCTGTTCCCATTCTTCCTCCTCCACTAACCCTTTCCCACTCCACCTCTCAACCAAGGAAGACGCGGGATTTTGTGAGAAAGTATAGTTGTATATAGCATCCATTAGAAATCTGTATGGGGATGTATGGAATCCGTTAGGATCTTCAGGAAGAAGTTTGGTCACGTAATACGAAATCGTAAACGACTTTCTGACCTGCCTTATTCTTTCGTTGCTATGATTCTATTCCTTCCGGAGCTGAATAAGAAGGAGCATGAGGGTGTTTCGAGGGTTTGAGAAAGGATTGGGTCGTGTTTCGAAGTATATTTAGTTTAGTTTGGTTTGCCAGACAGGTGAGATGTATTTGCTAGCGTCGCGAATTGTAGCTCTTCACTAACTTTTCTACAGGCGATTATGGGCTAAGTGAGTTCAAGCTGATGTGGCGCATGGGCATATAAACAATCAATACGATTTCGGTGTTCGAAATGTGAAGTGACTACATGTTCAGTGGTCATATACAGCAATAACGCTGCTCAATATTATTCTAAATGAATGTAGTCGTTCCGTGGTATTAGGTGTTGGGATTAGCAGAGTCCGAACAAGCTTATGATTGATTTTCAGCTCTTCAATGATCCGTGTGTAATCCTTCCATTACCTCGATGCTAAAACTATTCAACCTTTAAAGGAAAATCCGGTCAATATGGGCGATGGTTATTGGGCGATGAAATGAGTAGAGTACGAAAGTGCAAGCGAGAAGAATAAAATCTGAAAAAAAACGTCTACAGGCCGTTAACAAAACCTCTTCTCGCTAGCAGTGGAAGGAGGTGGCTTGGGGAAAGATGGACGTACAACAGTTATTCCTGGAGATGTCAGTCATCCATCGGTTATACTGGCAATCAACTAGCTGATTACGTAATATGTCAGTAGGCACCAGTTCCGGAGGTGGGCTGGTCCGGAATGACCAGGCGGCACTCTGGACTGAAACGAACTCCGGGCCTTAACGGTTTTTCAAGGTGGGAAGTTGCCTGCATGTGTGCATGCCCAAGACAACCTCTTTCACGGGCTTATTCTCACAATGTCTGGGCTCGACCTTTAGCTTTAACTATAACTCGATGTCATTATTGCTGAGCAGGTATTTGATTCACGTACTTAAATTCTGAAGAGTAAGAAGAAGACCTATGGTCGTTTATTGATTTTGTGATCATGTCGTCAATGGGGTACGCTTTTAAGAACTAACATAACAGTTTTTGAGGAAGAAGTGAGAGTTGACGGATGCGGAGCGTAATTTCGCTGTGCTCAAGGATTTCTGACGAGTTGCATTCTCGCGTGCCAAGCGCTTAAATATTCTGTCTACTTTTCCGCTCCTATTTTACCTTGATTATGAGATAGAGCTGTAACGTACAAATGCATCATAACCTTCTTCTACGGGCGGTGTGCATTCGCTTGAATTTTTCTATTCACACAAGTGTTGGGGGCGAGGGGCGGGGAGTGAGACATAGTTCAATCACCTTGTGTGTTTTGTTTTGCGATGAGAACAATGTCAGTTCCTTTGTTTGTGGACTGACTCTTATGACAGCCACGCGCCACCTGGCCGGCCAGAGCAACGTGGTAATCAATGTAGGACCCTAGAATCCTGTAGGACTTGCCGACTTCCTGGATCGTTGATCTGATGTCTAGTTTTTCTATCCTATGGAATTGTCCGATTGTTTTATAAGACACCCCCCACCAACGTGCGCATTTCTTCACACCGCCACATGGGTGATGAACTCTTTTTGGACGTTTCTTTATTACTTGCTGAGTCACGAGACTACTCGACATTGATGTAGTCATAGGTACGTTGATTTTCATTACTTTAATTTTTTTCTCAATTTTGTCCAGTACTTTTGTTAACGGAATGTGATGTAATGGTCAACGTTTTTCTCAAGTGTACGCTTGGCCACTTCCATTTTAGTAATATAGTTAACTGTTCGCGTGTTCGGTATGCATTTATGGCACATCATTACGTGTAGCTAATAATGTTCCTGTGCGCAATGTCTTGCGTTATATCACTTCTTTTCGAAACGGAGTTTTGAAACTACGTCACGGTACATAAGGATAAAGTCATCAGTTCTACCTTGACACCCCTGTTTGAATAAGACGTACATTACGACACACACTTAGGACGTTGAGGAAAAATTGCTTTGCCCTTGTCTGCTAACTCTGTCTTGTAATGAGGTATGACTAAATTGTTGCTGTTGCGGGTATTTGGACCTCCTGAACTGATATGTCCTTATTTGCCACGGCAAAAAACTGGACACGCACACAAGGGATACCACAGACACTCAGCGCTGTTAGTGTTCAAATAAAGATTTTATCAGGTAGATTAGCGGATTTTATGAAAAAGTACGTTTTAGAGTGGGTAAAGATGGCCAGAAAGTAGAGATGAAGAGAGAAAACCATTTGAAGAGCCAGAAACCGTTGGGTGGGACTCTCCGCTTGCCTGATTTCGCATTAATGCGAGCGCGCGAGTCGCTACGCGGCAGTTTTTCGATGGCGGCCCTCTTCGTTTGAGAATTGGAGCTTGGGCCAATGTTCTTCATTGATCATTCCATTCACATGTTCAAGGATCATTCGTAGAAAGGGCACCTTTTATACTTAATTGGTCGGTTACACTTCACTAAGGTCGTCCCACTTCAGGGTGCGAGCCAGGTTTTACTTACGTATTGAAACGGATGCTTTGGCGGTCCTGTTTGCATTCACATCGAAGACGATTATCGAAAAACTCGTCACCGCCACGCCGAACTCGCGGCACGACCATAGCGCGGGTCTCGGTACGATTACTGTTGCTACGCCGTCGGTGAGCGATTACGGGCAAAAGGAAAGTCCATGCCAGATGCGGGGTACAATGAGCATGCATTGCGGGTCGGTTGTGGTGGCATACTTTTGCGGTCCGCTTGTCACCCATAGGTAAGTTCCCATCTTCAAAAAATCTTTCGTTTTATCGGGAATTTTTAGATATATCTCTCAGGGATGCGACTGAAGCCGCCTAATGTATGATAACGTATTCAAACTTCAATTGAAATGTTAAAAAAAAGAAAGCAACGAATCCCAAAGTGCGAACCCGCAAAATTTTAGCTCAAGATACAAGATCGTCGCTAACAGTGGTCTATTTGTCTCTTTCTTAACCTTTGATATGTGGCTGTGGTAGTGTTTAACGTCGCTCGACTGGTAACCGTGCGTTGTGACAAAGTCCACGCGACGATGAGAGTAGGCGAGAGTGAACTTCGCACGGAACACAGACGGCTCGCGGGTAGCGAGAGTGAATGCCGGCGCGGAGAGCGGTGAACATCGGTCCAACGCCGCTCCAATATCGGTCCATCGTAACGGTTGACCCTATCGTGCGCCGTATTTGACGTAGTATCTTATAAGCTACTCGCATATACTGTGTATGCAGGCAATATCAGTGGACCTGATTCACCTTAAACATGATAAAATAGCAATAGATTTGGTCATCTTCTGAATCTGTTTTTCAGCATTCTATATATCATCGCGGATGTTCCTCTACTATCATGCCTACGCATACAATCATGCGAACCTTACTGCTACGGACGACCGTATTCGACTCTGGTTTCCGTTGGGATGGTTTTTCGAGGCTGGTAGCATTGGGAAGGTACGGTGTAACATTTTCATTTCCTTGATAACAGCGAACTCGGCTCGCAAAAAGAACAGTGACTTGGAATAATAATCGTTTTGACCTGGACCCATCAGATACCCATCCGATTTTCTTCTCTGCTCCTTTTTAATGCAAGAGCTCCAGCATTGTAATGTCGAAGAATCAAAGTGGGTAGTACAGTAGCCCACGAGTATCACAGATGTGCCGTTGTCGTGTCTCGAAAATGTGCGACAGTGGCGCTAGAGCTTTACAAAGTGAACTTTCAATTTTAACTTTCGGACCTGCATCGCGCTTTCCCTCAAGCGACGTGGATTACGACGTAGCATATTAAGTAGCCGATAATCAGCTAAATATGGTAGCTCATTCGATTGATGCTTAGGTTCAAAAACCGCTTCTAGACACGTACTTTCCACGCCATCGTTAAACCGCTATTACTTCACCAAGTTGATCTGGGGTTGTTGCTTTAAGCTTGTGACATCAAAGTTCAGCACTACCTCCGAAGCAGTTTCAATATTGAATAGGTAATCGAAATTTTGCGTGCAGTTCTGAGTGTTACTGACTCGCGGTCAAAAAAATATTTGTGCCGAATTAGATGTATATGGTAGTTCTTCTTTTTGGTTATGTTCTCTGTGGTAGTCAAATTAGTTGCGTGAACTATGTTAAAATTGATTTATGATGATTTATGATTTGAAGTGTTAATATTCAGGTCCCAAACGAGTTTGAAATGCCACTACGAGTTATCATCCCAAGGTGGTGGGACAACTCGCGTAGACATGATGAAAAAGAAGAGCGAGAGGAACACAAGCACGAAAAAGAAGCGAAACATTCGAAGAAGTTGAAAAAGAAGAATCACTAGGTGGTCGCAAAAAAGCGCGGATGCTGCGCTAAAGTCGATTGACTCCATCACACTGTGGATCTCGTCTCAAATTTGTGTTAGCAAGTTTCGTTAACTAAACCCGATGTTGCCATGGAGGGTGAAGCCAATATGTAGTAAAGTAAGGTTTCTACTTTTCTCTTTTCCCATTGATGTGTTTGCAGTGATCGTTATCCTGAAGTGTGTCGTGATATTTTCTGTGGGCATGTTAGTCATGACAAAAAGTAGGCAGGCTGCTACGAGTTTTTCGATTGCTTGGGAGGCTGTGGCTGCGAGCAAGATCGTGCAACGGTTACTTCTCGGTGAGGAGATGTCGCTATCTCCGCTATTCCCGTGCGCGTCGAGAACAGACTACACATTACAAGTGACGACTGTCTCCATATGATGTGATTATTTTCTACCGATGCATGATTAGTTGGTGCACTTGTGTCCTATCAGTTGTCACCATTTACAACTATCTTTTAGCAACTATTAGCTATCACTATGAACTAATAGTTCACTTGAAGGCTGTCGTTACTTACGTGTGGTTTGCACTCAACGCGCACCTGGCCTCTGACAGCAGCGCAATTTTGCAAGAGTATGCAAGTTTTGGGACTTCCCAGTTTCACTATGCTGAAGTTGAGCGACCATATGTGATAGTACTTGTCAGGGAAATCTATGGACTTTAGATTTTGTCGTTTTGTGTATTCTAGTGAGACAGCTTGATATTGTTTCATGAGTGAGTGGGTCGATTTGTATTGGTGTGCTACATGGATGCTAGCAGAATGTTTACGGTTTATAGTTTCACTATGCTCTTTTCTGTAACAATGTTCGGCACTCGTCCAGTAAGGAAGCAATTGTGAGTCACGGGATGAGCATTTTAATTTAAAAAACGAGCTTCAGGGTGCGTGTGCGAATTTCCTTGTGCAGAAGTGAATTCCTTGTGAAGCTTTTCTCCTACACCATTGCTCCTTCCATACTCGGGGCTTAGCCAGGATTTTCATATTTCTGGGTCGCTTGGGTGCTCAGTACCTGAATGCCGCACCTCCGCTGGAAGAGCGCTCAGCTTTTGTTAGAAGTGTTTGTTTAGTACGCAGTCCGATTCTATTTTTCCGGATTAACTTCTCGTTCGTTTACTTCGTTAATAAGTGTGTTTGTGCCATGGCGTTAGCTACATATCCTTTAGTCATCTATTATTTTTTCTCATAGAATTGATAGTTCTTATTTTCGTGAAGTTACTATTGTTAAGAGGAATTATAGGCTTATCACTTACACGTATATGAGATGAGGTCTTCATAATGCTCATTGGAAATGAGCAGCTTTTGTCACATTTTCATCTGATTCTATGTTCCAGGAATGGGTAATATGCAGTAATGATTACCACTAAGGGCGATCAGCTCTTATGAGATTCTACACATTGAAATGAAACTGATGAAGCTCTGTTGAAGTGTTTTGAGATGAAGGCGTTCATGTGGCGGATATAGTACCAAAAGGCGACAGTGCGTCTTCGCGCACACTCCGATTTTCACGCCTGAATCGGGGATGGTTCAACCATCCGCTTGTACAACTACAAACATCGAGATCGTATTTGGCCCATGGAGTAGGGTGGGTTCGATTCCAAGAGCAGCAATGTCCTAGGAGATGTCTCCCACGCAACCGAGCTTTAACTTCCGTGTAAATAAAAAAATAATTGCTAATTCTATCCGCCGAACGTGTCCAAGATTTGTCCACGTTCGTGCATGTCGCAATACGACAATGTGGTCCCGTCATGGCGCCCCAGTTCTCCTAAGGCCAGTCACTTTTTTCGATTTTTTTTTGCACTTTGCCTGTAAGCCTAACCAATGCTCTGATCACGAATATGACTACCTCTTGGGGCCATTTTGACACCACAAATCCACAAGCTTCTGATGAGACCCATTTGCAGGGGTTGCTGATTCATTTGGAAAGGAAAGTCCCTTCCAGCGCAGAAGCCACTTCGCTCCAGTCTGGAAACGGCCACCAAAAATGCAGGAAATGGTCAGCAAGGGGAGTCTAGCCTGAACGCTCTGCGGTGATATCGGGGAGCCACAGTGCCATCCGCTATGCTGACGGCTGCTGCAAACTGAGTGGTGTAGGCAGGGTCAAGCGAACCGTCGAGGAAAATGTGGAAATACGATCCCTCCCCCCTCCCCCAGAGGCGAAGTCCATGAAACGACCCTCTTCAAAAGCCGAACTTTGAAAAGGTTGTTTAATTCTCCCCCAAAACTGTTCACTAAAAAAGCCCTGCTACCCCACCTTTCACCAAAAAGATCGCTCAAGACGTACAAAAATGAAAAGTCAAAGAATGTTCATGTCCTACTTAACGAGCAAACGAGAAAAGGAGCAAAAACGACAAACTGATCACTAAAAATGGCATATTATGACAACATCTCTCCTTTATTTGCTTCCTCCGCAAGATTTACCAAATTTTGGTATTACACATAGTGTAGTTCGTTCTCAATTTACACGCCCCCTCAGTTGAAAGGAGCTTTATAACGGCCTTAGCCAGCTGGGTGTTGAAAGGATTACGCGACTACTTGAACTCTCCCCTATGTTCTCTGCCGAGAAAGGCCAGAGCACAGACGAATAGAGAACGGTGCCTGGCTCGGTTTCAAATCTCAACCAAGAAGGTGAGAGCTCTAGGACTAAGCCTTGAAGGGAGGGGGAACTCCCTAGGGGATGAGCCAATTATATTGTGGCAAGGTTCGAATACATAATATCACAGTAATCATAAAGCGCTGGTTAAAAGCGAGAGAGCGCAGGCGAGAGCGCCAAATCAAGGCGGTTAAAGGGCCGAGTTCAAGTTGTCCGTAGACCTGTTGAAAGATCTGTCGCTTTGGCCATTGAGCAATTATCTACTATTAAAGTTTGAGGTTGTTGAAAGATCTGTCGCTTTGGCCATTGAGCAATTATCTACTATTAAAGTTTGAACACATTCAAATGATTATAAATTTCTTCAGATATAACGTATTTGCAATCTGAAAGCAGATTTGCGAGTTTTGTGAAAGAGCTCTTCCTAATCAGTTGAAATTACAAAAATCTATAAGAAATAATGGCACTATTCAACTATTACGACCCCAAAAACTCAAAATTTTATTTTTCGTCGAAACCTCGCCTATAGGGGTAATTTGGTGTCCTGGTCACAAAAATGAGGTTCATTAAACCCCCCAAAATGTTCGAACGTGTTATTTTCTTGAAAAATTAACTTTGAAAAACGATTTGGGGCTTGTTAGAAAGAGCAAATCCTGTACTTTCACCAATGAAAAAAGTGCATCACAGCAATGAAAATGAAGTGAGTTATGGCCACGGAAAGACCAAAAACTCGCTTTTGCACGGAACATCTTCGAACGGGACAATTTTTTTAAAAAGGCACTAAACTTTTTATACTGCCTTGATAGATAAATATTTGAAGTTTCTGAAACTTTTGACAGCTTTCCAAAAGGTCGCATACGAAAGATATTATGGCCTTCAAAGCTGAAAGTGCACCTTCGTAGAGTTTTGGGTTTTCCTCTTCTAACAGAAGTACTTTCCGGAGAGTTGAGCAATCCTTGTAGTTTTCTGAAAGTGTACCTCAGGCACAATTAAAATTCATATCAACAAGTCAAAAAAGTACGTCCCAAGAAAGTTATTCCCCTCTAAAAATTTTTCTTCGCCGCGTCCCGTTCTCCCAGCGCCCGGCTGATACCTGCCGCACTCCAAGGCTGACGCCGCAACGCAGGCGCTTTCTGCGGCGGCGGCGCAGATGGATTCATGTCTAGAACTCTTATTAACAAAAACAGAGGGTCGCAACGGGACCCCCTCGAGAACTATGGGTTCGCAAAAATCCCGAAAATCTTCGAACGTGACGGTTGACCCTGCTCCTCCCTGTGATTTCACATGAACCCTTTCAGAGTCCTCTTGATTTTTCCTGAATTGAGATTCTTTCTCCAGAGTACTTTCCGTACTTGAAGAGCGCGCAACGAAATGGGCTCACTCTGGGATGCGCCGTGTGCTTCACATCCCTTCAGATTCTGGGACTCACTTGAAAGATAAAGTATTTTCGGAAAACGTGCGAATTTCGGATTCTTTAATTTGTGAGGTGATAAAACACTGGAGTAACTGATAATTGCTAAGCACACCTCACGAAGATTTTATGTGGGCGAATAGCATTGTTACTGGAAATCCCCTGGGCCAGCATCGACTCGATCATTGATGTTTGCCTTACGACGGTGATTATCCTGCTGCTTCAATCCGGCCCGATTTCTTCCTTCCAGCGGGCCAATACGACCCCCCCCCCCTTGACCTGTCGAGGATTTCTCAGCGCACGCTTGACCCTGGGTCTCGGCGCCAACAACGATACTGGCACTATCTTCATGAGATGTTATAATCAGCAGTTGAAAATACTTAACATTGTTTCTGACGTCTAGTTCACGAGGACCGTCCAGAATCAAGCACACTTTGCTAAAGGTTCTTCACACCAGTTTGCCGCACTTCCTAGACATTTTTTGACTTATGGTAGCGTAACGAAAATAAACCTTGGTTTCGCAGTCCATGCATAAGGTTCTGCAACACACGGAATCGCTTTGAGAAATCCTTCAATGCTGTGAGCAATTTCCCTTGTGAAAGAAGTTCCTTAGAGAACTGAGCGTTAATCAACGAGACCCACCAACAGTTGTTATTAGGAGAAGGAATTCAGCGACTCTGATTGATTTGCTGAGTTTTCTTCATTAACGCCTTTATTTCCTTGAGCATAACCTCACCTTTTCTGCCAGCCTCTCAAGAGCGTTCCTACCCATCGCTGCCGGATTGGGTGCTACCTCATATTCAGAGAACGAGAATGAGGCCATTCATACATAGCTATTTTTGGCATAACTGTCCTATAAGTAGCTCTCCAGGTTCTGCTGTGGAGGTTAGGGTAAACGTCCAGGTTAGCCACGCTGTCCTGGAGCGGACGTGGAGCTTTGCCTTTTAAAGACGGTTCGGGATAGTCTTCAATGTACTCCCCA